ATAATATTCTGTAACAGGAGGCAAGATAGCCCAATTCAGTGAGCCTGGGTCTTTATCCCAGCTTTGAATCCCAGCTGTGCTGTGTGATCTTGGGGAGCCCCTGCCTTCTCTGAGTGTTGCTTGCCCCCTGGGTAAAATGGATTGACATTATCGCCCACCTCGCCTGGATGTGGTGAAATCACATGACAGAATTACGCAAAGCACCTCGCAAAATGCCTGGCATGTTGTAGGTACTCAGTGAATGGTTTGATACGATAATAAATAAAATGTGTCCACACCTATGTAGATGCGGCCCTCTCCCCTCTCGGTGGCCTGCCTGCGACCTGTTGTAAAGATGATTTCTTCTGAGGTTTGATACCGATATGCCCAGTCACCTAGGCCAAGTTTTCGCCGGGATCTAGATAAGGAGGGGATCCGGGCAGTTTTCCCTCAGTTCGTAATCAGTCAGTCCTCCCCCGAGAGTCTTCCAGCCTTTCATCAAACAAACGAGATCCATTTTCTTTGTGCAGTCAGTGTGTCTTGGCAGATGTGAGTCAGCATCCTGTTCAGAACGGCCTCTTGGTTCCTTGCCCATGGACAATAAAGACATTTTCCATGGGTGCCAGATGCCGAGCTGACTTGGGGTTCCACCCGCAGAGAGGAGGACGACGCTCCGGGAGGCTGATTTTGTGGTTTGGGATTCAACCATTATTTCAGACTGCAAGTGTTCCTTATGTTTTAAAAATACGGCGGTGGTTTAAGGAACCCACCGCCCCAGACTCCTCTGCTTGAGCCCCGCCGTCCGCAGCACCTCCCTGTGGCCTCACTTGATTGAGGCTGACCGGCCCTTGGGACAGTGACTGGCCTTTCTGATGCCCAGCTCAGAGGGTTGGAAACAGTTTAGTTAACCGATGAGGACAGCCGAGCATTTTCATTCAAGGGATAAATGCTTACAGACTTCATGGTACTATTTCCCATGAGGAGCCAAGAAAGTTTGCCTTAGGTCCTCACCAATCTTGAAACGCTTAACCTCTATTAGTTTTGAAAATAAATTTCTAAAAATCTGCCTGGATCACAGGATTTCTGTGTTCTTGCCCACGTTCTGTAGGATCCTCCCTCCCCCCCCAACTCGCTGTTTCCCAGTGTGCGCCTTTGCTTAGAGTACTTTGTGACCGTCCACATCAAACACAAATACAGTGGGATAGGAAAGAAACCTTATCCGGGTTTGTTGTCTTTTCCTTCTGTTTTTGCCCGAGCCACAGTTTTGTTTGGATCCTGGGCCCTTCCACCCA